GCTTCTTATCTTCAAGATAAGAACTGTCTCAGAAATGCAAGATGAAGTACTGTTTTAAAAGGTGATTCTCAGAAGCAGGCAGTCACACTTAGGTATTTAATACTACCCGGTCCAATCCTCAGACTTTTTCCTGAATCAACCTGGTCTCCTAATCCTCATGTATTACAACCTTTATCCGTGTTTTTTATCCATCCGTTTCCTTTCCACAATGAATGGAAATATACTGGCTGATCATGAGAGGCTAGATCTGATTCTGTTATCTTGCACCTTTCACAGCAATGCAAAGCAGGTGTGAAACACTACTATATATGAACTAACTTTCTATTCACATGGCACTGACAAAAATGGCTGGGCTAGATACATGGCAGTGGAGAAGCAGGCCATATAGAAATACACACATATGTATGTATGATATGTATATGTATGCTTTTTTATCATAGAACAGCTTGGGTTGAAAGGGACTTAAGAGACTCATCTAGCTTCAAGCCCCTGCCACGGGCAGGGTTACCACCCACGAAATCAGGCACCAGCTCAGACTGCTCAGAACTTCATCCAACCTAGCCTAAAACACCTCCAGAGATGGCATCCACAGCTTCTCCGAGCAGCCTGTGCCAGCACCTCATCATCCTCTCAGGGAAAAATTTCCTCCTGACATCTAATCTAAGTCTCCCCTTTCAGTTTAAAGCTGCAATATAAATTAGATGGTGAAATTCTCCACTTTATGGGCATGATGCATTTTAGCATGTTTCAAAATAGCCTTGTTGAAAAATAGAACCTCTATTAGCAGAAATTATGCAGAAGTGTAATTTTTTTTCTCTTCATAATGAAGGCATTTTAACATAATTTACATTTTAATCAAAACATCCCTTTAAAAGTCCTTCTGCCTTCTCATATGGTTTCTGCCATTCTGGACAATCTGAGAATTTTCTTTGTTGGTATTAATGACAGAAAAAGCAATGGAAGCACCATCTCCGGGCTAAGTAGGAATCATTCACATGTGTCAAAGCAGATAAAAGAGTTTTGATCACTTCAAACACATTACCACGGTATTTTCTTTAATTATAGAACATTTTAGCTGCCATTATGTAACTCAATAGCACATGACATCACTCTTTTACCCCAGCAGATTCTGGTCCTAGAGATTCTGAGAGATTCTGTTGTAAAATGTAAGCAGAAGGAAGATTAAGAAACACTAAATATCACTAGAACAATCCACTGAATCAATCTGGGTTTGGGCTGTTATTACTGATATAAAGAGATAGCCTTATTTTCCAAGACAGAAAACAGATAAAAGTCCAAAATCTTCACTAAATTTTACCAGCTTTGCTCATCTCTGGGTTTGTCTAGCTATCATGTTAGGCATGATAGCTGAGTTTAGTTTTTTGATAGAGGGATAATGATATGTCATTAGTATATTTTTATGCCAATTATATATTACACATTCATTTACAGAAGGCTTCCAAATTTCTAAATCCAATCGTGGGTAAATGCACCAGAGGTGGGTGCCAGTGAATGAACTATCAGGTGTAGTTCTCATTCACTTCTGCAGTTGTTTGGATCAGCCAAAGGACTGGGAAACTCTAATGGGACGTTTATTAAGAGGCTGCTCAGTAGTTGCTCTGTGTGTAGTTTAGTAGAACTTTCTGGTCTTTTTAAAGTCCCTTTTGTGGGATGCCTTGGTAGGAAGAGCACCGAACACCAGTTTCCATCTTATGAGTGGCCCTGTGGCAATGGAGGCAGGAGCCTTCTGCAAAAAATCTATGTTACGTTACCAAAATGTTGTCACAAAACACGTCTCCTTTGTGGCTTACAGGGCACATCTGCTTCCCTGACCACTGAGCTGCTATATCTCGAGGATATTTCTGGTTGACATTGCTGAAGTACTGTAATTTGCTTGTACAAAACAACCATACACTACAGAAGCTGTAAATTTCACAGAATCATGGCATCACAGAACAATAGGGTTTAGAAGGGACCTTTGGAGATCAACTAGTCCAACCCCTTTGTAAAGCAGGCTCCCTGCACAGGAAAGTGTCCAGGAAGGTTTTAAATATCTTCCAGAGCTGTGAAATGTAGATAGCACAAGGCACATTCTAGACGTGGCAAGATGTAAAAATACTCATTGGGACACATTGGTATAATTGTTACATTTAAAATCAAGGGCCTTTCAGTACTGAAGCGTGGAATGGCTTAGGAGTATTTTTTCTTCTCAAACACAAAGTAGGCTTTATGATTAGATAGTAATTTGACAGTGAAAAAAAATACAAAATTGAGATCCATCTTGTCAGTAACATTGCTTGGAGTCAGTTTTATGAAATCTTGAAAGCAGACCTACAGCTCCAAAGAAGCAAAGAATTTAAGAACACACCTGTATGCGTGAAGGAACTCTGCATGTTCTTAAATACAGACAGAACCATTCATGCTCATTCAACAGATACTTCCCTGCTCTGCTGAACCGGAGACTAAAAGTTTTCAATTCCCCTCAGAAACCAAAGAGAACGCTCACAGCTAACAGCAAGAGAGAGGATGGTTGTGATGTTCTCTACTGATAACACTGCTGGCATGTACCACTGCAGAGAATTTAAATATCCTGTCAGAATTGGTCATTTCTTCCCTTCGCTGTAGGAAAACAGCACTTTTTAACACAGTTGATGTGAAAGAGCAGCCTGACAGTTATCCTAAGCAGGAAAAACTCACTCGGGAGATGTATTCATATATGAGAAGAATCACATTTTTGAGTCAGCATAAAAGGGCCTTTTCACAGATCCCTTAAAATGCAAAATGGTTCAATTCCCCTCTCTGCTTCTTATCGGTGAGTGCTACCTGGTTTAATGAAGTGTCAGCATTTCCTTCTGCATCCTGAATTCTCAAGGCTCCAAAACTCTACAGTAAAAATCTGCTCCAGGCTGAAATGGAGCAGCCATGCTCCAAGGCTGCTGGGAACATATTCCTGAATTCTTGTTGAAAAATGTTTTTTGGTTCTTGTTTTACTGATACTCAGAAAATTGGGTAACTAACCCTTGCTTAATTATGCTCTGAACATTAACAATATCATGCACAAACTGACTTTGACCACTCAAAAGACTCTTTGACTTATTTTTCAGAAAGACTGTTGAGAATTGGTGAAGTCAGTAACAAAAAAATGAAAACTGGGCAACCTGATTCAGCTGTGCATATCCCTGTTCATTGCAGGAGAGTTGGACTAGATGATCTTTAAAGGTCCCTTTGAACTCTAAGGATCCTATGATTCTATAACATATAGGAGCTGTTTACCTAGGATCACAAAGCACATACCACAACTTATCATTTTTTAACCTATTTTACAGATGAAGACACTTTGCCTCGAGAAATTTCCCTAATAGGACAATCCAATAAAAAGATACCAGCAGTCCTACTTCTTACGTTCCCTAACCTCTAGTTTGCTTATCTTCCTAGACTACCATATGAAGCTGTGATTTTAGCACGTATTAACATGTACATTGGACCATTACATAAGAATGCTCTGGTAGACTGATGCAAGGGAAGGTACTTGGTTTTGTATCTGTGACAGTGGGTAAGTTTCTCATCTGTTTGGCAGTAAGGCTGGATTGAAAATGGAGAAAAGCCTGTTTGCTTCTGTATCCTTCCAAGCTTATTTGCTCATACTGCTTAAATACTGGCACAGGCTGCCCCAGCTATGGAGATACTCAGGATCAGACAAGGCCCCAGGCATGCCTGGGTCCAACTTTGAAGTTGTCCCAAATGACCTACAGAGGACCCTTCCAACCTAAATAATTCTGTGATCTCTCTCTATTAAACAGCTTACCTTAAACTTGGCAAATACTTGCTTTTGACTTTGTTTGCTAATAGGGAAGGTCAAGTGCAGTTTTGTACTATGTCTACCTAAAAGAGCAGACAGGAGGAACTTCTCGATTGCAGGAGAGCATTGGTAGCATGAAGCAGAAGTTATTTTTAACTATTCTATTCCTTTGGCAGTGATTTGTTTCAGATTATTGCTCTGCATTTACTGGCAGCAGACAATTAAAAGAAACTAGCTCTTTTTAACCTCTGCTCTGGCTACACTACTAAAAAAGGGACAGTACAATTAATGGAATACTACGAGAGTATCTAAATAATATTTTAATTTATATAGTTCTTCGTGTTTATACAGTGATCTACTTGATCTATTAAAGGAGAATTGAGCAGAGAAAGTGTGGTCGTTAGAGTTGCTAATTTCATCCTGACTGTTCCCCTCAGTTACTACAGAATATAACCAAGGGATCTCCTTTAAGATGAGGAGAGCAGGATCTGAAGCAGAAAAAGCAAATAATTCTTAGAAAAACATTCACTGACTTTGGGGGCTGCTTCCATCTTCAGCATAACTTGGTTAACCAAACTGAAGTCATGTGTACTGCAGGAAAGCTTGGTTTGGTAAGTGCCTGTTCCTTGATCTGTCCCTAGGATTTAGTAATATAACCTAACAATGCCAAACCAGACTCTGATCCTTACTGTGGAGGCCACCTGAGACTGCCATTTGCATTTACCAGCACCTTACTGAGGAATCTCAAGTGCCACAGCTCTCACCTGGCTGGGAGCAAGAGGCAGCCACCATACCTCCGACACAGTGCTGTGAAAGGACTCCTGCATGACCACTGTCCTGGGAGGTGCTCACTATCTTTAAGACCAGAAAGACTCAATTTAGGCAGGTACAATTTAACTATGTTCTTAAACTGAAATACCAAAGAAAGCTCTGAGATTCAAATGCTTGCTTAAATTCATACTCACACTGAAGTGCTACCTGTATAGGAATGGACATCAGCATGTACTTGTGTACTGGTTTCCCTCCAAGTTTGAATGTCAAGCTATCTTTGCTGGTGAGACTTGGCATCTTCAGTCCAGAGGAAGAAGGCTTGGTATAATCTTCAGTTCTAGCACAGCTCTTGTCTCTCTTTTTTGTCAGAATCAAAGCTTCTGTGCTTAACTTACTGCTTAACATTTCTCTCGTATCTTTCTTTTCACAGTACGTGGCATTTGCCTCCCTCTTCTTCATTCTGGTCTCCATCACCACCTTCTGCCTCGAGACCCACGAGAGATTTAACCCCATTGTGAACAAGACAGAAACTGAATTCATCGGGAATGACACCCAGGTGCGGCACTACAGGGAAGCAGAGACCGAAGCCTTCCTCACCTACATCGAAGGTGTCTGTGTGGTCTGGTTTACATTTGAGTTCTTGATGAGAGTCACTTTCTGCCCAAACAAGGTGGAATTTATCAAAAACTCTTTGAACATCATTGACTTTGTGGCCATACTGCCTTTCTATCTAGAGGTTGGACTCAGTGGCCTGTCTTCCAAAGCTGCTAAGGATGTCCTGGGCTTCCTCCGTGTAGTCCGTTTCGTGCGAATCCTGCGAATTTTCAAGCTGACCCGCCACTTCGTTGGGTTGCGGGTCTTGGGACACACCCTCCGTGCCAGCACAAACGAATTCTTGCTGCTCATCATATTTCTGGCATTGGGCGTCTTAATCTTTGCCACGATGATCTATTATGCCGAGAGAATAGGTGCTAAACCAAATGACCCTAGTGCCAGTGAACACACACACTTTAAAAACATCCCCATCGGCTTCTGGTGGGCTGTTGTCACCATGACGACCCTGGGCTACGGAGACATGTATCCTCAGACTTGGTCAGGCATGCTGGTGGGGGCCCTCTGCGCTCTCGCTGGCGTGCTGACCATTGCCATGCCTGTCCCTGTCATTGTGAACAATTTCGGAATGTATTACTCCTTAGCTATGGCTAAGCAGAAGCTACCAAAGAAAAAAAAGAAGCATATCCCGAGGCCACCCCAGCTGGGATCCCCCAATTATTGTAAATCTGTCGTAAACTCTCCACACCACAGTACTCAGAGCGACACTTGCCCACTGGCCCAAGAAGAAATTTTAGAAATTAACAGAGCAGGTAGGAAACCTCTTAGAGGAATGTCCATCTGACCGTTAACCTCCATCCCGCGTAGTGATTTAAGATTCAGCCAGACTGCTTTCTTAGAGCAATGGGTAGCACATTTATCCATTCTAGTCCCACCATCACACAGTGAATAATACGTGTGAAATCTAGGTTGCAGGGACAAATGGTACAAGTGGAGGCTGATCAGCAAAACTAAGCATGAAAGCACGCTCTAGGAGCCTAAACTTTGGTCCTGGTTAAGGGCATACAAGTCTCAAGATATTTTGAAGAGCTGTTACATCTAGTGGAAGAATTTTGAGAGTTCTACAGCTATTTTGCTGGACTGTGTAATGCATCTCAGAGGCTCCTGAGAGCTGAATGCTTCATAGAGCAGAGTAGGAGCCAAGTACTCAGCAATTACAGAGTTCTCTGACAAAACAGGGCTGGAATTCGAAACAGCCAGATGCTTTCTCATTTGTTCCCAATTGGGACCTTTCAGCTGTTTTAAATGGCAGATATTGTACATCTCATTACAGAAACTAGGTGCCTAGTAAGTTGAAGGGACAACTATACCATCATGCATATTCATGAGACGATCCGTCTCTTTCTGATGATTAACTGCAAAGTAGAACAACAGCTCAAATTCTTGACACTAATACAAAATGACTCATTCTGAGACAAGACTAGATGTAAGGATGTTTATTCCATGGCATGTTAACCAGTTATTCTACAATATTCCACTAGAAATTAGCATTTAGAACTATGAAGAGTTTTGAACTACATTTTCTAAACCACACTCCTTTTTTGGGTTGGTGAGTTACAGCTCTCAACCTAGCAGCAGAGGCTGACTGGAAAAGGTCTGACTGGTCATTACTGGCTGGTTTGACCTGAACAGTGATTGCCTCATATTATGGTATTTTTACTTTTAATTATACTGATTTATGTCAGCAATAGGTGAAACCAGAGCAAAATTAATCATACTAATTCTACCAGGGGGGAGGGAAATGAAAAAAATACTAGTCACCATGGAATATATTATAATATCCCATGGCTAGTGGTTAATTATGGGAATATCTCAGTTTTATGAGAATCCTCCTATAGCACACAAAGTTACGGGGCTCCAATTTGATTGTTTCAACCCCATAATCTACCTCTACCCACGGAATATCACTATTTATTCTATGGAGTAATTTCAAAGTAGATAATAATGTCAAAAACAAAGCCAACTGCATTTTTGGCAGATGTCCCAACCGAGTTGCATAGTAGACATTTTACAGCCTATTCAGAATATTCCCCTGTGTTGCATTAGATAAAACAGATCTCCAATCAAGTGATTTTAACTGACATCTAGACAAGGGATGTTTGGAAAGAGCTAGAGTATACCTATGATGGTCTTGTGTTATCATTTCTTTTACTTTGAAGAAAATTCTAATTTGTTACTCATCCTGAGTGAGGTATTTTCTTGTCATCTCATAGCCATGCATGTTGATGTCATTGTGAGAAGCACAAAGAAAGTGAGACTTTCCTTTGTGTACAACTTCACCTATGCCAATGCTAATTTTGGAGGGGAAGAGCTGGTGGGAACTTTTCTCTCTTCTTTTGTCTTTTTCCTTTTGTGCAATTGTGTAAAATCCATTCAGAAGGTAAAGAGCTTTTTTTTTTTTTTTTTCTTTTTTTTTTTTGTTAAAGACTATTCCATTGCAACAGGCCAATCACAATTCACGTGACTGATAGACTGTCTCTTTCCTATTGTATCTTTGGTGCATAAGCGTATGGTTTTATCATCCATTCCCTTCAGGTTGCAAATGCTTATCACGAGTCATGTCCAAGCAGCAAACTTCCTCGTAAGTGATGCCCATGTATCAAGAGGGATAGAGTGCAAAGACAATATGGTGCATTTTCTACCACAAGCAATATGCCAACCACCCTCTCGTAAAGTGTGTAAGACATCTCACTTCTGAGTACTTTAGCAAACAGCTACAGAGTGAACTTCTCAGAAATCCTTTCCTTTATAAAGTTCCTTCCATTACATATCCTGGTCATCTCTGGGAACTAGAGGACTAAGAATTCTACAAGTTCAATGCAAATCCACACTGGTATCCTGAGAATACATGTTCAATGTGGAACTGTTTTGCCACCACCAGTGCTCTAAAATCAGCTGTTACCACGATATCCATGAAATATCAATAGTAACAGCAACTTATCTATTTCTGCAATAATTAATTAGAAGAGGCTATTTTTATACATGTGTACAAGCATATACATTTTGAGAAGTAACAAAGCACGCTTGTATTTCAGCTAACAAAATGGACTTGGTAACACTGTTGCTGAAGACCTGTTTCTGATAATTATTATGCACCACTAGCAGCAAAAAATATTGCCTGCATCTCTCAGCTTTCTCACAAGGAAAGATCTATATGTGTGCAAGAGATAATTGCAAAATAATAAGATCAGAACTAACTGTTAAAACAAGATCTGCACTGCCTTGGATGTTGAGGTTCACTTTATGTATATGAAGCTTTCATAGGCTCTAACTTGTTCTTGAAACTATAACCGTACATCATATAAAAACAGAGACTTGCAAGAAGTGATGCTCCCCTTACTGTAGAATATTTGCATTAGTTAACCCCACCTAGCTGTAGGCAACCAGTTAGCATCATGCTAGGTACTCAGAATGGGTCCTTCAGACCTAATGCTTCTGAAATAATGCTGAGTTGCTCATGATATTTTTTGTAATTTTTAACAGCAAATGTTCGGTGTGGCGGTGTCTACGTGATATACAGCCATACTATGTATATCTAATTACATTATTCAGACTCATAAAAAGGCCTATTTACCTGCTCAAGAGTAAGAGGCATCACATGAAGTTACTAATTCCATATATTATTTTTGGTGGAATGATTAAATTCTTCACAAAACAATGATGAGTATGAAATAGTTCCATGTATCATTACCTCTTCACAGCCAAATGCCCCCATCCGTACTCGGTCAGTAGTTCACAGCTGTTCTCAGTCCATACACGCAGGGCCAAGGGGTCTCTATGCAGAGCTCTGCACAGCCATACCCCAGTGCCTCCTCACAGGCTAAGGAGCACTTTCCTGGCACAGACATGCAAAGAGCAGAACTTTGCCCAGCGGCTGCACAGCTGCTGCCAATGATGCTATGGTGATTTGCATGCAAAGCAAAGATGTTTTGAATTGAAATTAGGGTAGTTTTGAATTGAATTTTTAGATAGACCCCAACACTCTCAGCAGCCCAGTCCTGTGTAATCTACATCTGGCAGGAGGTATCTTTAAATAACTGCTCTTGGTTTTAATTTCACACAGAGCTCTATCACACCCTTCCCTGTCTGCAACAACTCTGCCTGCTCTCCACTTTATTCCTTCCTGCCAGTGGGCAGGTGGGAGAGCAGCAGAAGGGGAGGAAAGGCATTTCAGAGGCCCTCACCAGTAGCACTAAGAAAGCAAAGATTACCCCTATAAAAAAACGTTCTCCAAGATAGCTTCTGGTGTCCTTAAATTCTCAAGACAATGTTTATATAGTGCCAGGAGGAACCGGGCCTATGACAGCACAAAGGAGCAGATCTTCATCTTTGGATATCTTTAGTGTCCAAAGGAGGGCTACAAAGATGGTGAAGGGTCTGCAGGGCAAGATGTATGAGGAGCAGTTGAAGTCCCCTGGTTGGCACAGCCCAGAGCAGAGGAGCTGAGGGGAGGCCTCATGGCAGCCTATAGCTCCTCACAGGGAGCTGAGGGGCAGAGCTGAGCCCTGCTCTGTGTGACAGCAACAGGACCTAAGGGAACAGCATGGAGCTGTGTCAGGGAAGGGGCAGATGGAGGTTAGGGAAAGGTTCTGCACCAGAGGGCTGTGGGCATGGAACAGGCTGCCCAAGGCAGTGGACACGACCCCGAGCTGCTGTTGTTCAAGGAGCACTTGGACAATACTGTCAGACATAGGGTTTGAATTTTCCATGATCCTTCATGGAGCCAAGATTTGGAATCAGGGGACTTTGTGGATTTCAAAATTGGGATATTTTATGATTCCAATATTTTCATTTTATACAGGGTGTAATTTAACTGAGCAAGATCATATGAAAGGTCTGTGACAAAGCTGTTAGTAGAACGTAACTACTGGGCAGCAGTCACAACCATAGTGCTCTGTACTGCAGTGTCTTTCATCTTCATAACAAAGCAAAATAAGAAGAGGGGAAGGGGAAGGCAAAATTAACTTCAAATAGAAACAAAGCAGAAGAAGACAGACTCCAACAGTCAAACTCCACGATTTCTGCTTCAAACCACACACCATCCTACAGATACTAAGTAATTTATCTCAGTAAACACAAACTGACTTCAAGGTACAAGTTTATAAGAAAACCTTAAAACACACAGAACAAATACTGAAAGTTTTGCTATGAAAATGTTACTTAGCTCTTAAGGCTCTCTCTTCTGTGAGCTGTGCACTTACCTGAAGTATAGGCTGTCTGCACAGTTACATCTCAAAGGTGATGTAGATGAAGAAATGAAAGTCGTTTTCCAACACTGCAAAAGAAATTAAAATATGAATGGAATTATAACTTCATTTGATGTCTGCACACTCTCTAGTGCCACAGAGTAATGATCTTAAAAATGTATCCGTAATACACAACCAGAGATGAAGGTTATTTGGGTTTTGCTAAGAAGCCAATCCCAGCCTTTTATTGTTTCTGTACATATATTTAAAACATCTGCACACAAAATGCTTAAGTTTAACATAGCCAAAACAAGAACTTGTCATCTCTCTGATCAATTCTGCACACAGCTTCACATAAACTGTACTCCAACAATATTGTATCTTTATACAAATGTGTTGTGCAGACACATTTGGTAACTTTTTCACAGTGTACCGATAGCAAAATTTCCTGCTTTATTGCATAGCTTGAAAAATTTAGGAGAAATATTATTAGAATTCAGGAATTCTAAGAGGAAGTGAAAAATATCTATTCTTACTAATGTATCTTTAGCTTTGGAAAAACTTCTGTAGTTGTTTTAGCTCCCTGCCCCTCAAACTTTTTCCAGAACCCACTCCATAACTATCCTGCTGTCTGAATAGTTAAGGCCATCTTACCCCTGACAGAGGGGAAAAACATTGCTACAGTGACTTCATTGTACCCCATGGGCAGACGAATGGGAGCAAGCTGTGACATTGTAACTTACCATTTCAATGCAATTTACTGAGATAGAGCTGATTTCTTTTAAAAGAAATAATGCGGAGTATTTCAATTTTATCAGTCATGTCTTCTGGAAGCACTGCTCTTTTCTCAGGGTTTCCTTTTTCTTCCCTTCTGTCACTGTAACCTAAATAACCTGTATTTTTTGTGCAACGCATTGGTTCTAACGTCAGAAGTGTGCTGAGCATTGTAATTCCAGTGCCAGTGCTCAGTGGGAGCTGGGGAGTCTTGGCAGATCTTGTCACGGGCCTATTATGCTGCTTAACATATAGCTGTAGACTGTGAACTTCAGTGTTGTTTTATTTTTTATGGATAGCAAACCATTGTTGAAGCATAGGTATGCAGTCACTGCGGTGGTCCTTCCATCCACAGGAAAAAAAAAGGTTGCTAGATTTTGTGTCATAAAGTCTTTGACCATCTCTGTAGGAAGGACTGTAGATAGCAGTGTAACTGCAAAGAGTTTAGGTCTGTTTCAGCTCAGATAGCTTTGATGTTTGTATACATTGCACACCAAATATGCAAAAAGGCAGTGAATATAAGATAGCAGGAAGATGCTTTTCTTTCCTCCTTGTACTTAATCTGTTTGGCCTTTAGAACATCAGAATTCATCATTCCAAATAGCAAATGAGGCAGTGATTACATCTTAACATTACTGAAGATGGGGGCTGGTCCTCAAGATCTAACACAGAAATGTTAACAACTCAAAAGTAATAATGCTCAGTTCTTCTTTTTTAGATTAAAATGCACTTGCCTGAGGTCCCCCCATATGTTGAAGGAAGAATTAGGAGTCTCACAGAGTAATTTACTCATTTATGACCTGAACTGCTCTCCAGAGGTGGTTTTCTCAACAATTGATCTCAGGTGACTGCAGCTCTAACTTAACTTCAGTTAAGTGCCTACAGATAGGTGAAAATAATTTGGACTTTTTTCTTGCTCACCAAGTAACATTTCTGCAATCTCACTGCTGTGGATCACACATAAAGCAGAATTTATAACCAATACAATGTAGTATTTTCTTGCACAATTATTCATTTATCATTTCCTGTAGAGATAAAATCAGTGGCTGTCACTTGTACCGCATGCTTGTTTACATTAGGATTTGAGTAGGAATATCAGTCTCTGTACCATATCTATTGAAAGCAAAAAGGAAGAGCAATGAACTCAAGTACAAAACTTCAGGTTTCTATTTTTTTTTGGTCCACGTGCATGCCAAGTCCACAATGGCTGAAGAGTTTTGCCATCCAGTGAGTTAAATGAAAGCATGCAGTAGCCACAGCCAAATCCCTAATGAGGAAGGTTTGGACAAAGCCCCAGAGCAGTACAAGTAATTAATGAGAAAGTAAAAAGAGCCCCTTGCAGCTCTGAACTGGCTTCTGTCCCTCTGCCAGCAGAGGAGTCTGGGGATCTCCTTCAGCACTGCTGTCCTTTTGCTGTTGTTTCCCATAGCAGATACTTAGACACATTTCTCTGGCACTGTGTGAGAAACAAAAAAAAAAAAAAAAAAAAAAATTAAATAAAAAGGAGAATCTTATTAAACAGTCCCCTGTGGCCCGGCCACAGTCAGACATAATTATGGGGACTAGCAGGACTATACGGAGCTGAAAAACAATCCTAGAACTAAATAATAAATCTTTGGACTTTTCATGCCTTAATAATTTAATGAGCACACGAGACACTTTTAGTGATGGGAAAACAGAAACAAACACTCCAGTCAAATAAGCCTAGCCAGTGCCAATCCTCCAGTGTGAGGCAGCTGTAAATGTGGTAAACCATCTTTCTCGAGTGCCCTTTCAAACACATGTGCCTGCCACCATAGCTTCCATGCCGTCCACTGCCAAATGCAATCCTGGGATATGAAAGAAGTACTCTTGGCATCTCTCCCTCCTGCTGGATTAAGTATGAATGATATTTGTAGGATAGATACAACAAAAGGCATCTTTGCTGCAATAGCACTAGTCAGATGGGGTATCCATTATTACAAAAGAACAGGGGAAAAAAGGGCCTAGGGTATGATATGATAGTGCTGTGCCCAGCCCACTATCTTATATCCCTCTTACTCTGTACCTAATGGACATTTTCTCCATTGGCTATTTGCTTGTCTGTTTATAAGAAAAAAGCTGAACTAACAAACAATCCACCATTCCTCCATTCTCACTGTCATTGTTCACTGTATTCATCCATGTTCCATGTCTCAGACACCCTCCATACTGTACAGATCATCATACTGTATTCTTCAGTCAGGGCGGTGTTATAAGAGTGTAGCATTCCTCACTCAACTGCAAGCTGTACCTGACCTGTCGAGGCCTACAGAATTTGCTGTTGATGGGGTTCTCAGAAGGCCAGAATGAGTGCAAGTGAATCCACAGAAGGGTCAGGATACAAGTAGGAGGGATCTTCCAGAGCTCTTTGCACTGCAGCATTTCCAGGAGAAACAGTTATCAGTACTGCATTAAGCACATATCCATTACTAAATCTGTAATGGCAAAATGCACTGGATCTACTTAATTAGAGCTCCTGTATTTCCTCCAGCATACCGGTAGGTAGGCAGCCAACATACTGTCACCTCACTTCAAGATGTAGTGCCTCTCAAATTTGATACTCTCTGGGAGTGATGTTACTATGTTGGTCAGTTAGTTCTGGGAGAGGTGGTCAGCACTGTCACTGGAGTGCCTTTCCTGGGGGACACGGCTTCCTGGAGGAACCCAGGTCAACAAGGTGGTGAGTAAATGCTGAAGAGGTAGGTTGGGTCGGAAGGCCTCTGCGTATACATGTAGCGTATTAAACTCTGCTCTCGTTTGTGCCAGTGTAAAGTCCATCAGTGTGAAAGCTACTCAGAAGAGCTTCCTAGTAACTTTCAAAAACTGCAGTAATTTAAAAATCAGGAAACCTTAATAAAGATACCTAGAACTAGCAAACATTTTTGCATTTTAATGGCCTTAGATTATTGGGATAACTAAATCGAGTTGTTATATAGGAATCTATTAATTCTTTTACATGTTCTTCACCTTTTCTCTCTCTTTTTTCTCTTTCCCTCTTTCACTCTGTTTGTTAACATTTGTTATTACTGTACGTTGCTTGCAACTTGTGTATGTTACAGACTGTCACTTTTTATTCTGTGAAGCTTTCCTCCAATTCCCATCAACCTGAGCTCCATGTTGGGCAGCCGAGGAGATTACAATACAGTTATTAAATGCAAAAGAACAAGGAATGTCACAGACTATAGGTAACTTCATTGAGGTTGTGACACCAAACCTGATGCAAGGTATTAATGCATTGAGTAAGTACTTGGTATGACAACAGAACTACTTAGTTAAATTACTTTCTTTTTTTTTTTTTTTTTTTTTTTTTCAGATAGTCTGCATGGAAAAAATAAAAATGTAGAAAAATTCCCAAGCCTACCAATTTAGGATTTTTTTCAGTGTCATTTTGAAAACTAATGATGCCCACATTGATGCATCATTATTCATTTTCAGAGGCTTATATCCATATATTCACTGTTCTCCTCTATGCTATACTTCCTTCCATACTGTCCAAGCCATCATTTCATCATCCTTTGTCTGTGGTTTACTATATCTTCTTCATAATTCTTTTTTACAATTTAATAAAGTTATATCCCTTTCACTCTAAGGACCTGCTTTAACAACAACAAAAATGAGCCTCTACCCATGGGATCCATGTTTCTTAATCCTTCATGAGACTCTGGAGCCCATAAAAATTGATTTCTGCAGCCAAAAATGATCTGACACACAAGGATAATTGTTATTTTGCTGAATCAGGTCCTGACCAAAGTATTTTGTTACAATCTCCCCCAATTACACAAACAATACTTTAGAAGAACAGTAAAAAACAGGTGATAGACATCTCTGGCAATTTCCTAGAGGGAGAGCATCAAATCTATTGCTTCTACTTGTCTTCTTGGATGCTAATAAATTCCATGTTAACTCAGAAATCACTATAGAGAAATACTAATTCAAGAAAAGCTTATTTTTCTCAGTCTGCAGCTTCTTTGTTTCCTAATTGGCTATTATGTTCTGAGCCTCCCTTAACCTGTGAAAAAGTTTAGATGGAGTCCAGTTTTAGAGAAAAATAAAATGACTTATACTGATGCAACTGTTGAGAGGCCAATGAATATTAATGGCCTGTTACTACTATCCAGGCAGCCAAAAGAGTAACAACTTGATATCACAGGGGTGAAATCTGAGTTAAGGAGACTTGAGAGAACAGGGAATTGAGCTGTGGTTACTGTCTTTCTACACAACATCGCAGAGAGAAATAAAATCAATGGGGAGTTTCTCAGTAGCTCTTCATTGCACCACAGATTAGAGTAAATGTTTTTGGAAAGTGGCATTCACACCCTGAGTTTCATCGTAATCATATATGCTCAGCCTAGAAATATCAGGCAAAAGTTGCACTACAGAAGCAGGATGCAAAAAAGGAACACAAAATCTTCGCATTTTGTCTACAGCAGTAAAGATAGCTGGGAAATTTTCTGTTCTCCATCAGCAGCTGTAGCAGCCTCATAACTACTCTATTGTGCACTTCCAGTGAAAAGCCTTGTAGCTGAGAAGATCTAGAGCACAACAGTTCTCCAACCTCACCTTTGCCATGTCGTCCCTTTTCCTATATTATTCTGTTAGCCTGAGACAGGAAAGGCCATCGTTCCAAGTATGCCATCTTCAGTATAGTATGACATCGTTAATGTTTGCCACATTAAAAGTCCTTTGATACCATCAGAAAAGTGTAAAAAGACTGAAAAACAAGAGAGTAATTAACTCATTAAATGGACAATATAACATTGCTTTCTTCAGAGATCCAGTTGGATTAAAGGTCTCTGCTGACAGGGACCTCACAGATTCTTCTTCATGAGAGACTTCTGGCAGCTACTGAATGTTAGGAGCCATGCAGAGTGATGTGGGTTGAAATTGGGCAGATGCTCAAGCTGCAAATGAGTAACAAAACACTCTCAATTGATCAGGAATGAGCTTATCCATAGACCGAAAACCAGGATTGGGATCAGGGCTATAAGAGCACAGTTGATATCTCAGTAAGTGTAGATTCATTTTTAGGTCTACATAAGATGGTGGGATGGAATGTAACTTCAGTTACATAATGTTTCCCTAGTAAACAGATCTTCATCTTTCAAGCAGCTTTCACAGTTTTAGCACTGTTTTTTCACTTAACTGCTCCTACCTCCTTCCTGTGCATCAATCCCCTTCCCTGCAGGCCCTTCAAGTCTCCTGAGTTGTTGTGAGATGGCAAAAGGCTGCTCAGGGAAGTTGTAAATACTCAGCCTGGGTTCCTGTCACTTTTAATCCTTAAACAAAGGTGGCTAGGAGGAAGACAGTCTGTTTCCTTCTGGAAGAGATTGCTAGTGACCTAGTGGGGCCGAAGAAAACAAATCTATCTAATTGCTGAGTTTCTGATCTGAGCCTGTGAAGGCCCTATCTTCTTTAGCACAATGCCAATAAACCTGGAGCGATTAACAAAACCAGTTAAGTAAAGCCAGTAAGGTGACTGTGATAATCTACTAGTTGTAATTGGCATATTTGGAATTGTTTGTAACCAATGCTATGAGCAAAGAGAGAGCAAAGAGACAAGTTGTGCACTAGTGCGTGGATGATCTCTCCAGAGCTTCTCCCACATTAAGCACAAGAAGATACCCTAAGTCTTTTTCAGAACACCCCCCAGTTTAAAATTCTTTGTCTGCTTGAAAATAGCTGAGGCATTTCAACTGTAGTTTTCTGCAAATGGAGGCTGAGAAAACAGGAAGGAGGAGGTTAAAAAAAATAATCAAGTGGAAACCATACAAATGTAGCTGTGAAACGAACTACACGCCTGGGAGATCTGCTGAACACTTTCTTCAGCCTCTAAGCCAAATCTCTGCAGGAGAATGTTTTAAGCTGGTGCAGTTAACCAGGTATTCGCAGATATGATGATTATGGAGATAAGGTTCCATGCTGCGAGTCAGAAGATTTTGTTGTAAATAACTTCTTACGTAGCAATGGGCTTGTCGTTTCACTGCAGGGTAGTTTTACCCATCTGTAAAACAGAGATGATAACACTAGCTTTTCATCACGGAACAGTATATAATACAAAGAGGAAAAAGGTTAGACAAGCCTACAAAAATGTTATACAAGCCTGGATTCAATTCTGCTAACAGGGATGGAAAGACTTGTAAATCTGGTAGGGCACAATCAAGTGTGTGAAATTTTAAGTGCCTAGAAGTTGCTGTCATTGGTATAACTCTGCCAATAAGTCACCAGACAGTAATTATTTCAGGATCTTTGCCTTGTCTACAGTCCTCTCAAAGCCCAGGTCAACCTTGGAAAGAACAAATCAAAACTTAAGAAATCAACCTAAATAATATAATTTCATTCCATCTTTAGACTTAATACGTGAAACTGTTCAGCATGTGGGTCTGCTAATGAAAGCAATGAAAACTTCTCACTGTTGACAGATGACATCAGAGAGGTTTTCTCTATTTGGATAAGTTATTAGGCATCATGTGATTCCTGAGTCTAGCCTTTACTGATTTAGGTGCTGCAGAGAGTGGTTTGGAACAAAGCTACTCTATCAACATCTGTTTACACGCACAGCTTTCTGTGCTGGTAGTTTAACTCCTTCCTAAGTATTCTGAAAAACTGCTCTTGAAGATGACCAGGGCTGTCCAGAATTTGGTCCCTAGGGCACAGCCCATGCATGGAATAACCCCAGGGATGTTTGAGGTTCAGCTTAATGATTTGTGCACATCGCCAGCTACTTTGTTCTCTTTCTATTCAACAGAACTAAAACAAAAAGGTTGCAGACTTTCAGCAGCAAACACACAGAAAAATTCATCAGCGTTAAAGAGCCCTGAGGAGGCTACTAGAGCAGCTTACAGCTCAGGTTGCTAGGAATGTATGACACATCTTAAGAAATAAATTCCAAGGTCAACTTTCTTGTCAGTGAGCACAATAGAGCCAGAAAGCTGCTTCCATAAGGACCGATGGCTGCTATTAGCAAGCTGTGTGACCCATAGCCAGGCTTCTCAGAGGTGTTTTGAGCTCCAGAAACAGACCAGTGTCCGTTCCATCACTAACCACTTAGTTTACAAACCCAGGCTCAAATGTGGCAGCGGGGATTTCAGAGATGTCAGTGCCTCGTTCCTTGTAGGATTAGAGCTACCTGCCTGTAGCAGTCGAAGATTATGAAGAAGCCCAGTGCTTTGCTCTTCCCCAAAAGGCCAGCAGTTCTCCCAAAACACAGTTATGTGATATTAAAAGCAACAGTTCAGTACCTGTAGTGTCACGGTTACCATGGCAGCTGTGCCAGGCTTTCGTGCTGATAGTAGTACTTAATACCAGTCTTACAAACAGAAAGGAATTGCAGTTCATTGCAAACATCTACAAACAACAGAATGCCCCCATAGCTTTTTTCAGGTTTTTAAAATATATTGAGATATATTGAGAGACAGAAAATGTTGCTACCTCTCTATGGGGAAATAATTGGCTAAGTCTAAATGGAGAAGAAAGGAGGCAGAGGTGAGATATGCAGAACAGACTATTTCTTTCTCTGTAGTGACAAACCAGTGACATCCAAATAAAAGTAAATGCATAGAATGCAATTACTGACACAGGGATGGATGTATATAGCACATGCTGTATACATCTGTGTGTGTGTGTGTGCTCAACCGTTGTCTGAAAAGGCTTTTACCTCTTATTCATCTGTCTTGTCCATCTGACACAGAGGAATTGTATCTCTGAACCCCACCTAATGCCGTTTCTCTTTTGGTCTTGTATTATTACTTGGCTTCAAAGTCACTGAAAAACAAATAACAGTATCATGTAGCATTCAGAATGAGACAGTATGTAAATCTAGAAGAGGCACTGGAATTAAGTTTACTTATTGACTTTATCTTTCTCTAAAGACTTGCAGGACCACCCATTGCCTTACAGTCTCTAGTTAATAAGCATTGTGCAACCAAGGTTTAGGATGCTGCCTACAGTTACTGGGTCTCAGCATTTGGAAAACTTCAGAAAGCACTTGGACTGCTTTTTCCTCCCTTCCACCAAAATACTCTTATTGAGCTGTGCCATATTTCGAGTATATTCTCAATGTACCAAATTGCACTTTAAACTCTAAAGTAAATCCTACAGTAAATAGCACTTTGAATTGTTTTACAAATATCATACAAGTCACACAGAGAAAACGTACTCTTCGCAGTCTATCTTCATGGGAATGTGTGGAGCAAAATGGGCAAATCTGACAACCTATTTTCATTATTTACAGCCAAGCATAAATTTGACTCCATCCATTTTCTAAATTCATGGCCTGCTGTAGTGTTTTCTATATGTAGTTCCCGTGCTGGCATTGCAAATACTGTGCATGTTTCAGATGAGAACATCAGAAAATTGATTTTTTTTTTCAAATCCACGTTCTGCTGTCTTATTCCCATACATAATGTACTCTGTGTGTCTAAAACGTGTACAGCCATTCTGCACGACTGATACCAGAAATAATATTTCAAACACCTGGGGTAAATTGAGGGAGGGAAAAAGCAAGGATTTTTCCCCCTGGAATATTGCACGAAGGCATAAATCAGCATAAACAGAATATACTCAAATGCTCAAACACAACTCACAGTCCACTGCCTCTCCCAAGCTCTGAGCAACAGAAGGCTTCATGACGAGCAGGTCATTCATGCACCATCTGTCGTCATGCAAGCACATGATCCGATCTCTAACCGTGGTCTTCTGCTCGCAGGACTAGGAACCACTGCAGGCCCGTATCCGAAACTGCCCCTCTATGCGGAAGTACAGGCGGCGGCTGTCACACCTAACGCGATCACGTTTTGTTTCTCCTCCCACTTAACAGACTTTATTTTATTTTGGTGCAGTGCACACGAACGCAGTGTCTAGGACAGACGTGCTACCTTCTATAGTGTCGCTATAGAACTCATTAGCTGTGACCCCTTAATTTGCAGCTGGAACTAATAAACAGTGCATAGTGTTTCAATAGCCTTCTGCTTATATGTTTGAAGATTCGAAACTGAATGGTGAGGTGGCCAAGGCGGCGCTGGCAAACGAAGACTGTCCCCACATAGACCAGGCTATTACGCCTGATGAGGGCCTGCCCTTTACCCGCTCTGGCACTCGGGAGAGATATGGACCCTGCTTCCTCTTATCAACCGGGGAATATCCCTGCCCGCCTGATGGAGGAATAAGAAAGGGTATGTAGCTGGGGTCCTGTAACTATGTAGTTAGCAACCGTTTTAAACGAATAAGAACAAGTCAGCTATAGCTCTAGCACGCAATAGTGCGCTTGCTGTAGAGATGCACGTTTGGGCTGGAAACCACCACTTGATGTCTGCATTTGGAGTTTCTAACCTATTTCTTTCAGAAAGAAAAGCCTGAAGAGCTGTAACTACCCCTTGCAGTTATGCTAGACAGCTGAGACTTCCACCCTAACCGGTGCAGTAAGCTTCAGTGCAGTGAGCTTCAGTGGAGAATGCTCTACAGTGCCCTCAAATTAGCCCATTCTTTAAGGAGAGGCCAGTTAGCACTTGACAGCAACAAAAGTTTGCCACTTTAAAAGCTCACAGATTTTACAGACTCTGAGGAGCAAATACCTGGGAGGTAGCAGACAAAAAAAAGTTAAAACGCAGAAGCAAAAGATCCTCAAGAAACATCAAATGATTATTCGGCTACCTTAACAGAGCACTAAAGGAAATTATTTGGATCTTCATCGCTGTTTTGCTCAATAGACGAAGAGAAGCACATAAGAACATCTGTTAGCACAGGTGTCTTCAATCACAAAATCATTCACCTAAAATCACTTTCTTTTCATAAATAAATCACTACTAGTTAGTTTATCTGACTTCTGACAGCTACAGATCTCTCAGGAGTCATTTCATTTTAGTTTCATTATGGCCAGAATCATTCACATAGTGGTAAGAAGTCAAACTGAATGAAAAAAATACCTTCCCTTCTTAAAACAGGCTACGTTTTGTTTAAGTTACTTAAGCTGAAGAAACCGTCCAAACCAAAATTAGAATGACATGCATATGCATAAAAGTCAGTAAGAAATGGGGAAATTGGAAAGGTCTGTCTCTTCAAATCAGTGTTTATCACTGGTGTACTGTATATAGTATACGATACAGTCAATATTTTAAAACTTCAAAGATTGTACGACGTAACCATACGCTGAGTATGGAGTATAGAATTCCCATGTGCCATTGTATGATGGGCAATAGTTATAGTAAATGCCAGTTATAGATAGTGTATGTATTTCTAAGTTTAAAGCTTATCATCAACAAAGATATAGTTGGACCACAACACTTTCATGTGAAAGTATAACCTCTTAAACTTACCTTTGTAGCAAAGTGTTTTACTTGATTCTGTATTGGATAAGCATTGGCCGCGTTCATTCAGCCTGGGCGAGTTTGGGTGGTTCCAGTGGATCAGGGGAACACTCCAAATGGCACATCCTTTGGGATGAGGAATGTATGGTTTTCACGATGCACTGCAACTGCCTCTCGTTACTGAATGAAACAGAGGCTGGTTGGCTAAAGAGTAATATACGTCAGCATATTGTTGGCCTGTTTGAAACACGTTGAGAGCATCTTAATTGTTGTTCCAACAGAATTTCACCCATAGTTTGTGCAACTCTCCGTACACTTGCTGAGCTGTTTACGTGCATGTCTGACAAAGGCGGGGGGTGGGGGAGGGAAAAAAAAGCATGCAATTTTGTTTTCTTTTTTTTTTTTAATGCTGAAAACAAAGGAGTAGTATCTCTATAGCAACAAAGTAAATTACATGGATTGCTGCCTTTTTTTTTTTTTCCCCACCTTTCTCTCTCTTGTCCTCCTTCCCCAAAGCTACCAGAAGTCTAAATTCTGCCTGAAGTCAAAATGCATGAGGTGACAGGGAATGGTATGCGTGAGTGTATGATTGAGACATCAAAAATCCCCCTCCTACTGACTTTGTTTTAGGGTACAACCACATCGCTGCCTGTAGGATCAATTACACAGCCTGACTATCCTTGAAAAACGATTTTTTCTTGTTTTTTATTTAAACTTATTCTTTACTTCAGTGGCCACGCGAGTCAAGTTGCAAGCGATACTACTCTAGCATGTCTGTGCATGCAGTTGCTATTGAACTGGCTACAATGTTGACCTCATTCTTAGTCCATTCTGTCATTGATCCAATGCTGTACTTTGCATTTTTCTTTTAAATGAAGGTTACGAAATGTCACGGAGCCTTAACAGCATAGCTGGCATAAGTGGAAAAGCGATAGGATTATCCTCAGTGTCTGCGCCCTACAGCTCTCCTAGTCCAGTGAGACGCTCTTGGTCTCCCATCCCATCTATTTTGTAGCATGGATCAGTAGCAGAGAATGGTCTAAAAAGCTTTATTTTCAATTAGCCTATGCTATGTTGCATATAATCCAGGTGACTAAGTCTGAAGATGCAATGTCTCACAGTAGCACCTGCTGGGAATGGTGTTACTACTGATGCTAGGTGACAACACTCCTAAATTGCACTCAGATGACAGTAGGCAGGCCATTCACGTGGTACTGGTGGGCCATAATGTGCTGCATGGTATCAGTACATAGGATGAAGGGTAGATGCACCAGATAGCTTCCTTCCTGGTGCATCGTGCTAGTCTATGCTTATTGTGGCTAATGGCGGATCTACTGGCTCGGTATGGAATGGGTTAGGCATATAGTCGATGCTGAAACATGCCAACGATGGAAGATTTTGCTTTTCTCAGGATACTTTTGAGCCATAGGAACCCTGCAAGAGTTTGAGCAAACAAGCACAGTAGGATGAAACTTTGCATGGGCGCCTATCTTAAGCTGAAAGCAATACTCAGACACACTGTAGAGAGGTCTCAGTCTGGCTGACTGCATGGAAAAAAAACCCTGTTGAAGAAGAATATGGCTGCCTCTGCATGTAGCTATTTCACCTTTTCCTCCTTCCTTTAAAACTAAGATGCCGAGCTTGATGTGAAAAGCACAGGGAAGAAGCTCAAGTACTGATTGTATTCTTTACATGCAGATCTTTGCAAAGAAAGTCCAGTCATTGCTAAATATATGCCAACAGAGGCAGTCAGAGTGACCTGACAAGGCAAGATGGAGATGAACATTGATGGCAAATAAACATCTGTGTGGAACTGTGCAGGCATAGAAGACCTTCTCATTTGGACAAAGTTAACTCGCTCCATGCAGGTTTTATGGATGATTCTTCGTGGTTCTGGAGTTGTACAAGAGATGCAGGCTTTTTCTACGGCCAAAACGTAACAAAACTGTAGAAGATCTCTTTTTTTTTTTTTCCTTAGTCTATTTTTTTTTTTTTTTTTTTTTTTTTTTGTTCCATAGCATGAATTGCATGAAGACAAAAATTAAAAAAATAAAATAAAAAAAAAGCAAGAAACACTGCAAATGTATGATTAACTTTGAGGGAAGAAAAAAAAAAAAAAAAAAAAAAAAAAAAAAAAAAAAGCAAAGTTATATATTTTCTTTCAAAGCTCTTTACTTTTACATACATTGTTGTAGCCAAAATGTAAAACAAAACTGTACATTTCTTTGCTATGGATCGCTTCTTTTTGTATACGAGATACTGAGTAATGGTTTTAAAAAGTGCAATCAGGCAGTCATGGGTCATATTGACCACGCCTTCACAGATCATCACACCGACATGGAAATCAAGAACTTTTAATCCTAGATGTGTATAAAAATAAGAAACTATTTTCTGTCTGTTTTTGTTGGCATGCTTGTGACACATGGGATCTTCCTTCGGACCTGACAGTAACAGCTGGTCTAGATTTAATTTTCCAGCTCTGGTTATGTTGTATTTTATTGATGTATAGATCCAACGTAAAGACCCTTCATAAATTGTTCATATTAAGTAATCAGTATGAATTTTTAAAAAGAAAAAGGTGTTATTTTAAAACTGGGACTTATAGTACAAAAATCAGGAAAATACTCAAGTATAAATTGTCTCAAAGTTTAAGAAACAAGACAACAGCATTGTATGCAATTTAGTACTGAGTAAAAATGCATGCACAATGTTATGCAAAACAATTCTAGCATGAAATAAATTTTGTATCATGGTTTCAGTGCCTGCTGTATAGTGTCAAAGGGAATCCTTTTCAGAAGTGATCAGGGGTTTCCAGAGACTTGCTTCTAAAACCTTGAATAAATACAGTGTTCTCAACAGAACTGTAGGAGAAAAGCTTGGTATTGCTTTGGTTCTAAAACGCTAACTTGGGTTAGTAGATAATAAATGAAGCCTGCAAACACTTGATACAACCAATGTCTGAAGAATCCACATCATTAGTAATTTTATGAGGAAAGATTAAAAAGCTCTATAATTATCTAGGTATCTTCCTTTTCCCTCCCCAAGAATAATAAAAGTTTGTCTTTTTAGCTGATGAAATGAATTCAGTTTCTTACTTTCTTGGACCTCATCCTTCCCTTGTTCTTCATTGAGCCACAGCAGTCCACCTGATACAAAACCCTGAAAGAAATCCAGGTGCCCAAGTAGTGCTTTATTTGCTACACAAAACATGCAGCAGTAAGAACCAAGAAACACAATAGGATTGGGTTTCACTTTAGATCCTGGAAATGGCAGCTATGGACTATGCGTCAACAACATTTTGGAGAAGCACTTTCTTGAAGGAAGGATACATCCATCTTTATCCTCACATGAAGCTCTTTGAAAGAGTTAGAAACCTTTCAGACAGAAGCTATGACACCTGGGGCTGCGGAAGTGAATGAAAATGGAACAGCGTCCCTAAAGCTTGGAGAAAGTAGAGATTAAAACGAAATAAAAACACAAGAAACTCTCATGGCTCCGGTAAGTGCTGAACCATAAGCAACAACAACAAAAACCAACTGCAGCTGGACTTTGTCTTCATAAAACTGCTACAAAAGAAGAATGAAGGAGACCTCCAGCTGTGTTTTAGGAACAGGAGAAAGGCTGATGATGTGAACTAGAACATAATTAGATGAAGGACTGCAAAGAAGCTTTCTAACAGTACGTACTCAATTTCCACTTCAGTCAACTATCCCCTCTCCTAAGAAGTATTTTTCTCCTACTGTCGTTAAGCTGTTTTTCACAGCCGATGAACGGACAATTTTCTTACCTTCAGAGACAAGATCCAGGTTAATCCAGGATCCAAAAGTTGTCTAATGAACAACTTTCCCTCTTATAGCATATTAAGAAGCCAGAAATAGATTTCCCACATTTTTTATTTAATGCTAGAACTCAAGGGCCTTGTGTGAAGACTGCTCCATTACCATAATAAGGAACATGAACAATTCAGCCTTGTAAATCCCACATAGGTCTTCCCCTTCTGCAGTGCTTTGCATATATATATGAGCTTTAGCTATAATGAACAGGTTGGGTACACGTGGCCTAAGGCAACTGTAATTCTGCGCTACTTTTTGCTCTACCACATCTGCCAGCCCCATTTTCCTTTCAGTATTCCTTTTTCTAATTCAAGGTATCTGTGCCTTCAGGCACTCCCTGTAAACCCTTCAGAAACTCAATGGCACTTCCTACCTGGTGCTCCTCAAGTGATGCTCTGCAGCTTAAGACCCTACTGCTTCCCCTTGCACTATAGAAGCAGCACCAACAACTGGAAAGTTGATGTCTAGTTGATGTATAATCCTACATTCAGTAGGATCTGCTGCACCAAATCCTGACATTGAGTTTAGTGAGAAACTTAACACAGCATACAAGCTGCTTTACATTCAAAGAGGTTTTCTGGGTTATTAGAACATTAAACTCTTCAAACATGCTCACTCCCATCACAGGGGATATATATTTTAATAAAAGAATTAAGATGTGTGGCTGAATTCTGGCCTCACACTTGCAATAATGCCACCAAATGCTTCTAATGTCAGCCAAGGTAAAAACAGTAGCACAGTCAGCAGCTGAGCTGAACTCTGCCCCTTTCCTGCTGAAAGTGAACATCCGGGTTTCTTCCCCTGGAACCTCATCTCCCAGCAATGGACAGCCAGCCAGCTGAGCCAGCCTCAATACTACTGCTTCCTCTGACTGGCACTCACCGTGGGCTGCTGTCTATCACAGGCAGCTCACCCCAGCCAAACACGTGCAGCCCTGTGCCCTTCTTTTCCTGGGCAACCCAGCTGTGCAAAGCACTCTCCACAGCTGCCTCTTTAGACAGCATGGACCTGAAGAGTGGTTTCTGCTCCCCCACTCCAACAAAGAACCCAGCTACTACCACTGTGGTAACAGTCACGTGCAGCAGTCATTTATCTGGATAAAGTGATTCTTCACATAAATTGCCTTCTTTCTCCCTAAAGTTTCAGGTCCAAGAAGAAAATACATCACTGAAACAAATGTCTGCTAGGACAAATGAGAAGAATGAAATACAACAGAGAGCGAGCAGGACTAAGGCAAGGACGCTCACAAGGAAACTGAGATCTGAGCCGCTTATGAAAGATATCCTGAGGCAATCCCAAGCACAGTTATTAGCCTGCCACTTTGCATATCCTCTGCGTGGTTTCAAAGCGCAGCAGCACCCCGCTCTGCTTTCCATTTATACACTGAGAACAACTTTGCCTCTGCACTCCCAGAAACTAACTTCATTTCGTGGAGATGTGCTTCAATTATGTAGGTTATTTTTAAGTCACTCATCTATTTGAGTTTGGGCATAAAACACCTGTCTGTTCAGAAGCCCCAAAGCTTCTGCACTCATCTAGGAGTGTAGGTGCACCCTTTCTCTTTCATGGGAATATGAATGCTTGTTTGTGATCAAGAGCGATATTTAAATTCAAATTCAGCCTCAAATTACAAAGTACATCCAGGAACTGTAGCTCTTGACTTGCTTTGCTTATCACATAAAACACAGGAAGATGAGTTTCCTGGCCCTGGCTGAGCAGGCCAGGCTTCCAGACCTCAACTCTCCCAAAACTGTATGCAAGTACTTAGGGCCCAAACATCTCCATACAAAGAGCATGTGCTCCAAGGCTTTCACTGGCTTCTCTACTGCTCGCCATGGGGTTTGTCAGTCAGCCACAGGCACAGTATTGCTGTCATATTGGCACAGTTACCGCTGAGGGCACACATGGCTGCAGGCATGCAGCTCAGCTGTGGCAATGTGACACCAACAGCTATGGAAAGAGGAAGGGATGGCAGGAAGATAGTGGTGCAGGGAGAATAGAAGGACACAGGACTGGTCTAAAGAGTGGGGTGAGCAAACAGCAGGGTTGGGAGTATGTGACGAACCAGCCGTGGGGGTAGTGGGGAGGATGAAGAAAGCAAGGAGAGAGGGAAGTAGGAGCACGAGGCTGACCTATAAACTTCAAGGACCACTGGCCTGAAGCAGAGCCATGGCCTGGGCATCATAAGACTGGAATTTTATTCTTGGTTCTGCTGTAGACATGCTGAGTTACCTTGGCTGGGACTTGTCAGTTTTTTGTGCCACATCTCCTGTTTCTACTGTGTGCCTCTTTTTAAAGTGTTCTGAGGACAAAAGATGAAAAGCATAATTTAAGTAGAAATAGTTTTTCATAATTACGTACTCAGAAATTAAGGCATCAGAGGAAAGCAGCAACTAGATTATGTAAGAGACACCGTGCTTCCTGGTCTGCAGAAGAACACCGTGCTCTTACAGGGATTCCTTTCCTTTAGTACTTTAAAGCAAAGTATTATTATGGAAAATGATTAAGCACCCACACAGTTAAAATGACAGAGCATCTTCATTACTGATTGGCAACTCCTCTGCTGCCCTAATTTAAGTACCACACGTCTTCATGCATTCAAATCAGTACAAACAAAACAAAAGCTAAACTCATTTGTCATTTGAAGCAAAAGAAAAAAAAAAATCATTTCAGAACATGAAAAATCGCCCAATTCTTGATTCTACTTTCAAATAATAATAATAATAATAATAATAATAATAATAATACAGTAAAAACAGTCTTTCAGCAAAGTGTTCATATTCACTTAAATTATGATGATCAGGGAACTGTCGTCATACAGATTGTGCTGTGTATGAGTAACAAGTTGGTCTATAGA